TGCACTGGTGTTTACATTCCGAGACGTTAATGCGTCAGCCCAGGCCCAGTAGCACTCCTGCTTATAGCGTGATGCTATTTTACAGGAGCGACCAAAACATGGCTGGGATCTGCCTCCGATGGGCACCACAGAGGATGGAATAAAAAGTTACATACCCTGAAGTACCACATCAGCAACAGAATCGGCAATAAGGCTAGCATCTTCCGGCGAGAAGCAAACCCGCCCCCAAGGGTAGGATGCAAAAAAAAACCACATCCCGTCCCAATCAGCTGACCTATAGTGCCAAACACGGCGGCAAGTTGCAGATCGCAACTGCGATTGGAGCGTGAGTGGCACCGTACTCCGGATCAGACAATGGTCCGAAGAGCCCAGAGGAGCATCGACGGAGACCTGATATCCGTCCGGATGAGAGGTCAGCAGAAGGTCCAACAGGGAAGGTACATGGTCTTCCACATCTGGAATCCACGTAGGCGAAGTAACCAGTTGTGTTAGACCATATGCCAAAGCAAAGTCATAGACAGATGTAGCCGCATGATCGGTTAAACGAGAACCAGGCCATTCAGCGTGGTGGGCATTGAAATTACCGAGTATCACGATCTCTGCGGATGGGAGTCTGCAGCCATTTGGACGTGGCCGATGAGTCGATCTGTGTCGGCATTACCGCTATGGGACCTATAGAGGCACCCGTAGACACGGGGATGTTCGTCGCTATCTACGCGCAGCCATATGATGGACAGGTCCGTACCTTCAAGACTGCCGAGGCGTCGAAAGTTTAGGAGTCAAGTAATTCGGTCGTGGATGCTCAGCGAGGGATTCTCAAGGGGTGTTGGTACCCTCCTGGGGTAGTATTTAATTCCACTACCATGTTGATGGGGGGCGGGGGGGATAGGACCTCCGGCCACCTGCACTCACCAAGCGCAACGCAGATGTAAACCTCTACTTCACGCTGGTATTCTGTGAGGTCGTGGTACCACCCCGGTTCGAGCTGGCCCATTCATGCGACAGCAAAAGCTACCGCTTGGCTCTACCACTGTTAAGATTCCGCTTAGCCCATTCCCTCGATGCAGTTTGCAGATCACATTTAAAAACCCTCCTAAATTTCCCTTCCTCCAGAACTAAGTTCTATTCTCACTCTTTTACAGTACACGCAGTTAGGTTATGAAATTCTCTTCCTACTGCAATTCGTGAGGCTCTAACAGTTTCAATGTTTAAAAGGCGATTTAAAGAGAACTATCTATATAATATGTGTATTTATTTTTTATTATATATTGTATAGTATAGTATTTAACTATATGTATGATTGTATGTATGGATGTATGTATGTAAATGTATTTATTATCTTTGTTTTATATTATGTATATTAATATTATAAAATTTATTATGGGAGTGCACACTAAATCCGCTTCTCTTTGAATATGTCCAGAGTATCAGGCCTGCTGGAAGAAATTTCAATATGAAATAAGCAGTGCCATTATATAAAATATCTTTTTTTTATTGTAACATTACTTTGTGTGTACATAAATTGTTAAATAAATAAATAAATATTCCCCTAATCAGGCATTTTATTGGGAGGCCTACGTACAGAAGTGGACTTTGATGAATTAAATCATTACTTATATTTTTTTTAAGCGTAACCTCAACACTAGCACTTTCTCCTGTATCGTGATCGCAGTTTACACACATCAATTTCACAAGGACAAACATCCAGACCTGGAATAATTGCGACTCATTGCTAAGCTACTGCGCCACGGGGCCGTCTAAATGATGATCAACTCGTGTGTCCAGATCAGATGATCAGAAGTTGTAATATTTTTCTGTGATTTCCAACTGTCGCTCCTTACGACGCCCAGACAACGAAATTAAGTGTGGATTTTCTTACACTGATAAAATTGCCATAAATTGTATTTTCGTTGAATTAAACAATTTTTACGGATTTTATTAAACAATTTTTTTGCGTAGATCGAACAAAAATAATAATTATACACAACCAAATCTAAGAAATGACTTATTGAACTAGGCATGCCCATCAAAAAATCGGTACGTACAAAATTCGATTCTCGAAAAATCGATATAGATTCTTTAGATACGGTAATCATTTACAGTTTTGTTTCGATTAATACATAATAATAAATTAGAAACGGATAATTTAAAACACAAGATCTATCAGTTTCATCGTATTTATTATTGCTCCTTATTTATAGAGGCAAAGTTGTATAAATTAAAAATTTGAAATTAGATTTAAAATATTTTTTTTCAGTCACTTTCACTACAACTAGTTGAGCTGTCTTTGTTTAGATAAATTATTAATGGATTTTCAATAATGTAGTCAAAATGAATGCACCTTTCAAAGCCATCCATAAAACTTTTTTTGTTTTCTCCACCACTTGCCTAATTATCCTTTATGACATGGGTACATGCTTCATTCAGCAAACCTTCCCATTTTCTTTACAAAGCATAAGATATTTTCATCTCGTGTGTTTTAAGTAGAGTTAATATAATATGTTTGCATTAACACAAACACATTTCATATAAGAACTAGCCTTTTATTTCGGCCAAAATCAATTCGATAGCATTATAATGTCAGTCGTATGGTGGTAGTCGAGTGATACTCGCAGGAATATTTTGTAAAAGGGTTATAAACTTATAAACCACTCTTTGACTTTTTCTGCATCCATTTACTCATCGTATTCTCTTGTACTTCTTGATTAGAAAGCTAGTAGACAATCTTCTACAAATCCTCCTCCGGCGGATCCCGCATCACCTTTTCCCACGGGTACCTTCGAGCAAAATGCTGCAGTGTCATCATTGCATCAACGAATATTACGTTGTCTCAATTGGTCATATTTTTCTTTTCTCTTAAAAATTATATTTTTTCAAGGCTATGTCATGCCTCTCCATAATTATTTTGCGTTTATCAACTTTTTTTTGTTTCAGAAGCGCATGTGTTTTAATATGGTTCTCTAAGCCTATACTACAGTTTTTTAGGTGCTAATTAGGTGCCAATTTTAAAAATTAGTTGCTCTAAAATTTTCACCGCAACGAACTGTTGAAATTTGCGTTGCTAGCAAAACGTCTCGCTAGCAACGCAATGAAGTTATTAGATATACGATATAATATTAATAGCAAGGAATTATGTGCTAATTAAGTGCTGCAAGTATACGCAATGACAAAGCGCCCTTAATAAAAATATAGTTGTTATTCAGAACAAAGCAGATGCAAAATTCAGGTTTACTGAAAATCAGACAATAATCAAAAATGCTTTTAGACAAAGCCCAAATTAGGGGCTTTTTATGTGCTAATTAAGTACCAAGTTTAAAAATTGGGTGCTCTAAAATTTTCACCGCAACGATCGATTGAAATTTGCGTTGCTGGCAAAACGTATCGCTAGCAACACAGTGACGTTACTAGATATACGATAAATATTAATAGCAAGGAACTAAGTGTTAATTAAGTGCTAAGCGATTATTGAAACCCGATACAGATTAAGATATTATTCCGGGAATTATAGGGTCGTTCCGTTCGCTCATACCTCCGTGAAAACTGCTTTTATCACTAACTATCGCTCATTCGAAATTAGCACTTATTCCGATAGTTTCAGAGCTTACTTTGAAGTGTTTGTTTACATTTTACGGCCAGCGGCTTGTTCAGCAGTTTGATTTAGAACTCTATAGGTATCAAAGCATATTTATAATTGGAACGTTGAAACAAAGCATTTTGAATGCTAGCCCGAGCAATACTCTGCTTAAGCATTGTTACGTCACAATCACCAACATGGAGAGCAGTGTGCTACCGTGCCGTCATAAATAATAATAATATTAGATATTATTATTTATGATATTCCAGTATATAACTTGCCAAGGTCAACGAATATAGTAGAATCAGTCCAAAAAGTTATAGCCGAGTCACAAAACAAGACAAACATAAAATCACTAAAGTACTCACAGTAAGCCCCCAAAATAATAGGAGATTGGAATTACGTAGTGTTTTTTTTCAGCGCGACTTTGGATTCGAGTTTCTTTGCCTACACAAATTTATACTAACAAAGTAGGAAATTATAAAATAAATAAACTTATTTTATTCATGATTCATATAATTTAATCAATTATAAAAAATTTATTTAAATAAACAAATAATAAGTTAAAACATTTCAAGATTCGATTAATTGAACATTTTTACCGATTATTAGAATATTTTTACCGATTATTCGCATGCTAATGAATTTTATCATTCAAACACTACGATAAGGTATATAGCGACATATCATTGAAACGACGTCGGGCAAAAAGTTGACTCTGGTAAAAAAATATTATATTTTGCTTTTTTTGAAAGATGCGAACTTAAATAAGTGATAAAGAACTATACATGTTGTAATGAAATATAGAAAACTTTATAATTTTTTGGATTTACGTAAAAGGTTATATTAAATCGTGTAACTACGCTTGTACAAAGTTATTGCGGTATGATTAATGTGAAACGTTAAAAGGTATTTATTAGATTTGGTTGAGTATAAAAAGCTGAAGGTACTCAGGGTTAACTTCTACATCGGGACCCGGGATGACCCGGGATCACCCGTTCCCCGTGACCATGGGTGCTGCAGAGCACCCAAAATGTCGAGAATTAAAAATTAAGTAAAACTAAACGCGCGATAAAGGCGGTAAAATAGTTTTATTCTATGTAGTGTTTACGTAAATATAAGAACTCATTGCGTAAATATAAGAAATCATAGCATAAATACAAGATATCATTGCGTAAATATAAAAAATCATCGCGGAAATATAAGAAATCATTGCATAAATTCAAGAAATAATTGCATAAATATACATTGCATAACTATAAGAATTCATTGCATAAATATAAGAAATAATTACGTAAATATAAGAAATCATTGCGTAAATATAAGAATTCATTGCATAAATATAAGAAGACGTTGCGTAAATATAAATCGTTTCATAAATATAAGAAATTATTGCGTAAATATAAGAAATCATTCTACTTCATACCTCAGGCCTAGGGCTCCAAAGCCGCACCACAGCCTCGATGCCACTTGTGGCCAATAGGAACATGGAGGGGTGCATTTGAACGCAGTTGAGGATCGACTCGTCTGCACGGAGACACTTCACGATATTCCCGGACTTTCGGCACCAGATAAACATGCTGCCGTCGTCTGAACTGAAAGTATGAAAAGTAATGTTAGGTATTTTATTTCAATTTTATTCGGGACAAAAGCGTATATCTACATACATACAAATAAACTTGAAGTTTTTATCATATTGCCTACTCATATTGGGCATTTTTCAAACTGTCTGGACATTATGAATACTACTACTTATAATCACTTGCTCCATAACATATCCACTTACCCGGCAGCAATATAGTTGGCTCCGGGCCCCAGAAAGTTGGCCTCCTTGATGTCGGTGGTAGTGTTGCAGTGCCCCAAGAACCTGTGGCTGTAGTCCAGCGCGGAGGCCCTCAGCTGGCGCTCCAGCGAGCTGGTGTTCTCGCTCTCGTCAGCTGAGGAGGTGCCAACTGTTGCAAATTGTAAACAATTCTGCCTAACTATAAAATAACAGCTTAAATAAAAGAAACATGTGAACTGCACGTTCACACGCGGTAGAAGAGAAACGAGAAGGTAGGTTAGTTGTAGTGTTTATTTATTATTATATTGTTACCAAGTTTACAAATTATTTTCCTTTTGATTCTACATAATATACAGACTCATAGTTTTCAATTTTATCATCGTAAGTACTTAAACATTTTCTAGTCAACAAATTTGGTCCTTAATCATTCCTGTTCATAGATCACACGCATAATCTCCATACATAATAGGAAACACCTGTATAATGTATTCTATCTAATTCTCTCGCAGGCTAAATCCTATAGATGTACTAGATGACCAGGCATACGTTGTTCTACCCTTTCCCATAAAAAATCTTTACATTCGTAATTTTAAAATATTGAAGGTCACTTATCGGGATAAAAAGTATCCTATCTCTCAAGTTGAACCAAACTGCACACAGCGTGAAAAATTTCATTGAAATCAATTCAATAGTTTAGGAATTCATCGCGGAGAAACAATGTGACACGCAATTTTTATATATAAAGATATGTTTGTCTCTTTTGTGTCGCCTTTTCTTTTCATTGAATTTCAAATCACAACGATTCCAAAGAACATTTCACTTAAAAAACTTAAATCTCTATTAGTTTAAATAGTTTACTACATATTATCATATTATCAAAATTGTTCATTTTCTTTTGGCATTTCGTAAAATTATACAATTTGTTTTCAGTTAAATATTTTGTATGCCAATAAATCGTAGATCATATAGGACAACTAGGATACGCAATTGTTAAAATCTTTAATGTATTACTTATGATCAACAAACGGCAGTTTAATGCTGCTGTTTCATATGGTGAATACAGAGACCCTTTTTACTGGATACTAGGCATATTATTTAGTCCTCAGAGGTGACAACGCATCTGCATTTTGATTTTGTAGATGTCAATGGGCCACCTTATTTTTAAAATGAAATAATTTTGGCGGTCGGTTCTCTAAACTCAAGCACCTAAATCTGCTATTTCACGGCGGTATTACGAGTATTGAGAGAGTTGTACTTCCTCGGTCGAGCAGACTAATTCGTGTTACAAATATAATATAGTTGAAACATGGCGCTACCACGTAAAAAATTAAAATACCTACGCACCTTCATCGGGCTGAGTTTCCATATTCTCCAAGGCAACATTGATGTCCTTCTGCAGGAGAAACACGGCATGGCTTGCCGCATGTCGGGGGAACTTGTCCTTGAAATAGAGCAGGCATTCGTGGGCTTCCCGAGCTCGTTTCAGGTCCATCAAGCCCTTAGCGAGACGGAAATGAGACTTCACATTGTTAGGGTCCAGCTTTATCGCCTTGTAGCAGTCTCTGATAGCAGCGTATGTGTCGCCCGACCTGTGAAATAACGGAGAATAGTTTTCGTTCTTGATGACGTACGAGAAACATTTCGAGGGAGGAACGAGCTATGGGTTGGGCTATGCACGGGGTTTCTCTATGTGATAGACTTAAATATGAGAATATAGTATAGGCAGTAGAACCAGAATAACAAACGGATTAATAAGCTGAAGTGGCAATGGGCCGGTCATATAGCTCGAACAACCGACAACCAATGGGGAAGAAAGGAACTCAAGTAGCAACTACGTACCGGTAGGCGAAGTGTGTATGACGGCCCCCTACAAGATGGAGTGACGACCTGGTAAAAGATGCAGGAAGTCGATGGATGTAGATGGCTCAGGATTATGCTCTATGTTTAGCATTGGACTTGTGAAGGGCCGTATTGATGAAAAATGAAAATGATGAATCTAATTAATATGATACAAATAATATTTAAAAAAGAAACATTAATCTCTTTCTTTTTATAGAAGAAGGGTGACAAACGAGCACACAATTAACCTGATGGTAAGTGGTTGCTGTGGCCTATAGACATCTACATCTATCTTCGCATGCGAATTAAAATGCAGATGTGTTGTCAGCCGTGAGGACTAAGACTATTTTTACTGGAAAAGAAGCATTCTACTCTTTTCCAGTAAAAATGGTCTCCGATTCTCTACACTCACCATAAGGAGCACAGCAGCACTAAGCTGCAATTTTACGCTGATATTCTGTGAGAGCGTGGTCCTTCCCCTGTCGAGCCGACCCATTTGTGTTACAACTATACTAGTAATATAGCTGCAGCATGGCTCTACCACATATAAAATATCCACTTTACTAAAAAAAAGTGACTTCCACTGCTGAGGAATCTGTCCAATCTTCTGTGGCACCACCCTGGTGGTAGAAAAAGTAGCCGATGCCAATTGATCTGCCTCAACTACAGAATATTACAGGCCGCTACTTACCAACATCTTCGCATTAACGTAGCAGCTCTATTAGAATACAGCACAGCACAATCGGGGCACTCAGCGATCGCACTGTTATAGTACTCCACCGCTGCTGAATAATTGCCCTGGTTAACTAGCTCGTTAGCCTGGAAAGAAGAATTAATACTCAACGCTGCTGTGTATCATACGGTGAGTGTAGAGAACCGGAGACCCTTTTTACTGGAAACAAGGCATTCCATCTTAGTCCTCATTGGTGACAACGCATCTGCTTTGTGATTCTTTATCGAGGATAGATGTAGATGTCTATGGACCACAACATCTACTTACCATCAGGTGGACTGTGTTCTTTTGTCAACCTTATAAGCATAACCTTCTTAATCACTCCCACCTTATTATCAAAAGTAGTTCATAATATTGTTTTTTTCTAGAAGAGGGGGCAAACAAGTATGCGGCTCACCTGATGGTAAGTGTCGACCACCACCCATGAACAACTGCAACATCAGGGGAATTGCAAGTGTGTTGCCGGTCTTTTAAAAAGGAGTATGCTGATTTATATATACGCCATATGCGTTGGTGAAATTTGGCGGCTGGAATTAATTAGACCACTCCCTGTGGTAGATACGATAGAAAATGCAAAGGGATGCAAAATCTCTTCGCAGCGCCAGTAAATCGACCCGAAAAAAGGACAAGATTATTGTAGCTATGAAAATATTCCGAAAATGGTTCACAGCAAATGACTTATTGCAAAACACAACCAAAACTAATATTTTCATGTACAAAACCACTGCTAAAAACAGTGACATAAGAGAAGTGTATGTAAATGGGTAAATAATAAAAACTGTAAGTGCTGTGAAGTTTTTGGGAACTCATCTGGACGATCGTAAACTGGAAAGTTGAGCTGGCAGCCATGGCAGATACAAAAAGTTCAGTTAGCTATGCCTTATGCGCCTTGCGGAAAGAGTGATCAACTATTAAACGTGTACTATTCGCTGGTTGAATCCAAGCTAAGATATAGCATAAAATTCTGGGGCAATAGCATTGACATACTACTAATTTTTTTTTTACTAATTTTTACGTGGAGCTATATTAATTGTATAGTAGTTGCACGAATGGGTCGGCTCGACCGGGGAAGGGCCACGCTCTCACAGAATACCAGCGTGAAATAGCGGCTCAATGCAGCTTTGTTTCGTATGGTGAGTGTAGACAACCGGAAACCCTTTTTACTGGTAAAAAGAGGCATTCCATCTTAGTCCTTATGGCTGACAACGCATCTGCGTTTTGATTCTATGGGCTATGGGCCACAGCAACCACTTACCATCAGGTGGACTGTGTGCTCGCCATATCCTATAAAAAAATGGACCTCGAGTCCTCGATTCCATTTTTAAGTCTATTACTTAGAGAAACCCCGAGCATAGCTCTCTCCATAGCTAGCTGAGCGACCTTGAGCTTCCTTATATGGCCAGTAGTGAAGTAAGTGAAAGTTACAGAGTACCAAGATGAAATACGGAACACAGCAGCGCGCATTGCTGCTCGGATGCAGAAATAACATATAATAATACCTTATATTGTATTAAAATAACATTGTTATGGTTACAGCTTACACAATGAGACATAGATAATAAAAAACTTACCAGCTCTTTAAGCTGACGCACTCTATCGGGCAACTGGGGTTGTGGATCGACGGTGCCATTGGTGCCATTGGCTCCCGTGGCAGCGGTGGTACCATTCCGCGGCTGCTGCTTGCCCTCACCTTCACGGTATGCGTGGTTGTGCTGTATTATGAAACTCTCCACAAGGACAGGTCGACGGGCAGAGTTTATGTCGAAGAGGTAAATCTAGTTACAAATTAAAACAGATAAATTAATAAACACTAAAATAAAAACTTAAAACAATGTTTCGTTTTTCTGCCGACTTCAAAAAGGAGACGGTACTCAATTCGACTGTATGTTTTTCTTTTATGTGTGTTATTAACTTTTTACTGGGTGAACCGATTTCCATGATTCTTTTTTTTATTTGAGTCTCGATTATAATTCGATTTTTATTTCATATTTCTTATGGTTAATTGTATTGCTTCTTTTTCCACTGATGTGTTAATGCAACATGTCTTTTTAATACAGTGATTATGATGTATATATATATATATATATATATATATATATATATATATATATATATATATATCTATATATATATGCAACATGCAACAAAGCACGGTCCTGAGCCACCTGCATCCATCGACTTCCTGCATATCTTACCAGGTCGTCACTCGCCTGCCGGTACGAGGCTGCCACTCGAGAACCTTTCTTCCCCATCGGTTGTCGGTTTTTCGAGCTATATGGCCGGCCCATTGCCACTTCAGCTTACTAATCCGTTGGGCTATGTCGGTCACTCTGGTTTTACTGCGGATATCCTCATTTCTGAGTTTATCACGCAGAGAAACTCCGAGCATAGCCCTCTCCATAGCTCGCTGAGCGACCTTGAGCTTCCTCATCCGGCCAGCAGTGAAGGACCACTATATATATATTGGGTGCATTCAAGATTTTATCGAAAAAATTAGTTATTTTCTTTTGTTAGTGATAAAATTGTTGTTCAAGTCAATATCGTATATTTACTATATACTCAACTTTTTATCGTAATTCTTTGAAAGATACTATTATTTAATTAAAATACATAAACATATTTTCATAATAAACATAATTTTCAATTTTATATTATAATCAATAAACTGTTTCCCTAAGCAATCTTATGAATATGAAGTGGTACATCTCGATCAACTAGTCCGCCCAAGATAAAACGCACGGACTTTAATATTATATGTAACGCCAAAACTACACAGCAAACTTGAACATTTTAAATATTACCTGTTCAGAGCCCAAATTCACAAGTAGTTCATTTCCGTCATAACTGAAGGCAACATACGTGGTCGCTCTCTTTGGGAATGTGTGGTCGTTAGGGGGATCCAATGAAAGGTGACCTAAAAACGATATGCAACATAAATCAAAAATTCTACTATCTAAATGAAATCATCACAAAAATCTAAGTTAAATTCTATTAAAATAAAATGTGTATCATCATCAGACCTTAGCAACCTTGAAGAAAAAAGCGTATTCCTTTCGAAAAGGCGACAACGCACCTGCAATTCCCCAGGTGTTGCAGATGTTCATGAGCGACGGTGATCACTTGCCATCAGGTGAGCCATATGCTCATTTGCCTCCTCTTTTATAAAATAAACCTAATAAAAATCTCACCTAATTTAAAATTTAAATCTTTACCTAATTTTCAGGTAAAATATCATAAATGAGAACATATTCATGATATTGCAGCTGTACTATAGTATATTAAATATTCGTGATATTGCAGCTATACTATAGTACATTATATATTCATGATATTGCAACTATACTATACTTATAACACAAATGGGTCAACTCTACTGGGGCAGGACCAAGCTTCCATAGAATACTAGCGAATAGAGCGTTGTGTCAAGCGTTTTCGTCATTTGTTCGATGCACAGTTAATTACCTATCCATTACAGCCTATAATAGTTTACTGCCGAACATAGGCCTTTTTTATAGAATAAGGGTGACAAACGAGCACACAGTCCACCTGGTGGTAAGTGGTTGCTGTGACCCATAGACATTTACATCTATCTTCGTTTGCAAAATAAAATGCAGATGCGTTGTCAGCCGTGAGGACTAAGATAGAATGCCTCTTTTCCAGTAAAAAAGCGGCTCCGGTTAAAATCATAAATTGCATCATATGAGGTATGATGCCCTGTCACAAGACAAGACAACTTACTGCAGATAACCATTATATATAATCAAGATATATAAAAAACATAGACAGAAAAAAGGGGATTTTGCCACTGTTGCCACGCTTGGCAGGCGAGTTGGCAAACGCAGTTTTTTTATTATTATCAGGAAGATGCTACTGTTCATCTTCAGTTTCAGTTTTCTTTTGTCGCCTTTTACGAGACCCACGGGACGACGTGGTGTAGTGGGGTATGGGGCAGTGGGGTATAGGGTAGTGGAGTGGATATTCTTACACCGCCGCTACTCGGTAAAACAGATGTACAACATAAATGGTTAATTTCACTTGCAAAGTTTTAAGACAAATTTGTACGATTTAGGAGTTTGTTCAACTGTGTTAGCAAAACCACGGTCAGATGCTGCAAAATTTTTGGTTTATGTGGTAATGAAACACCAAAAAATTCTAATTCTTTTCAACAAGATTTTTTTTCAACTATATGTTATTAAGATTAGGGTGTGATGGAGCTGACATATCCGTTCGGGATAAAAGCTACTAAATAAATAGAGAAAAAAAAAGTTATTTTCACTCACCAGGTGCAAAATACTGCACGGCTTCTTTTGGTATGTCATTGTCCGGGTCTCCGTGGCCCGCTCGGGTACAAAGCACGTTCTGACGGTCGAAAAGTAATTGGGAGTGCAGAGCTCGTGGCTGGAGGAAAATTCATTAGTGTATATTTTTGTCCAAGCAGCTATGCATATGTCTAGAATGACCAGTGTCACTGGACTTGTAAGATCTATTGTGATCGCTGTTATTGCTACATTTCACTGCTAAGCCCTGTCTCTATTCCATCTATTCTTTAATGAATAGATGGAGTTACTTAGCTGTGAGCAATTTGACTTCTTCTCGGCTAAGTACTTATTTTCCTAGATGAGTTTTAAGTTTGCCTATTAAGGGTTAAGTGTGTTATAAATTCATTGATGTAATTAGGGTGATACTCGGGCTGCAAGAAATTTTAAGAATAGGTTTTAACAATATTATGTTATATTACACTGTCAATATAAACCTTTAATTTAAAACAATTTAAAATCTACATCTACACTTATACTATTATAAAGAGGAAAGATTTGTTTGTTTGTTTGAATTGAATAGGCTCCGAAACTACTGGACCGATTTGAAAAATTCTTTCACCATTAGAATCCTACATTATCCCTGATGAACATAGGCTATATAATATTTTCAAAAAAGTTAGGGATCCGTATGAAAACTTCGTTAATGTAACCCAAGGTGTGAAAAAAATACCAAAAAGTATCCTTATATCGCGTACGCTGCGGAAGCTATTGATAATAGAGCAAAGTAATGTACTTCAGTTTTATAGAAGATATCAATATCTACAAAAAAGTCTGCGATACCATATGTTTAACTATTACAGTTATGTCACAATAACTATGTTTTCATGTTAAAATGTAAAATAGTAACGCCGGTACAAACTAGGCCACATTATTCGTATCAGTACCTGTATCATGCATAACCACCAATTACGTTAACCATGTAATTTTAGTAACATATTTCACTTTTTAAATCTTTGTTAATTCAGCAACCGTCCGTCGTGATGTCTCTCTCGAAGTTCGCATGGCAAGGCGCAGACGCGTGATATACGCGGGTGAAACTACGGGGCACAGCTAGTCATTTATATTATTAATTTTAGCCAATCTTGAATTAATTTATTAATCGGGTTTTTTTTAACCTTCGGCTTTGGCCAGAAATCCTCTACCCACATACCTAAAACCATTTTGTTGGTTGCGAATGATTTTAGGCGCATATTTTATGTGCTTTTTTAGTAGAGATATCGGAGAATTTCTTAAATGCGCGAAAACAACTGCGAATACGAGTTTTTTTTTGAAGATTACATCCGTGGATGCGAGTCCGAATCTATTCCGATACCCGAATTTTTAGTATGAACATTTTGGAATTTGTGCATTGTAGTGAAATTACCATACACGCGCACGACACGTACTTAATTTCTTGTCGCAACTTGTACCACATCCACATCTGCAAAGCTCCGAATTGATTAATGCGGATGCGGAAGTGGACGCGGATGTCTAAATCTATGCAAAAGAACGGCAATTGTGGATGCGGATGTCTTTATCCCCAACATCCGTGGTTCTTGCAGTAAGTTGGGCATAGTTTCCACACCACTTGCAATAGCCTTAGCGCACATAGCGTTCCGTCTTTCTTTATTGGTCTGAGTAATCGATTATATCAATGGTCTACCATTGCATTACTGTGATAATATTTGTGGTCTTAGATGCGATGTCAGAGAAATAAGCACATTGTCAACTATATCAGCACACGACAAAAGTTCTTTTTAATGTAACACCTACTCTAGGTATTGATATATTTGGATTGGACAAACATCCAGTCCCAGAGCAGTTATTTACAGGGCATACAAAGATTTATTCTGTGCTGGATTAGAAAAGGCGGCTCTGCAGCATCGCAACCAGACGCTTAGTCACTGCGTCACCGATCCGCATTTATGCTTTCAGCTAAGTCGCTATTGTAGGTTAATTCTTAACAGACTTCAAAACAAGTGGTAAAATTAAAAATTTTACACAACCGATTTCAATATAAAACATTAAGGACAACTCAAAAACTACTGGTCAGAACTTGATCAAATTGTATGTGTATCGGACCACAAGAGGAGCACCAGCTTTCAAATAAAAAAAAGAATCATTAAAATCGGTTCACCTAGAAAAAAGTTCTGAAGTAACACACATAAAAACGCACATCGCGGCACAACTCCCGATACCATTCACACTATCTAGATGATTGGCGGTCCACCACTGTGCGATTTAGAAGAAGTTTTCTTCTTCGCACAACTTCCTTGTGGAATCGATTAACACCAGCGATTTTTCCAGACCGATACAACATAGGGACCTTCAAGAAAAGAGCCTACTCCTTTTTAAAAGGCCGGCAGCGCATCTGCTATTCCCCTGGTTTCCCTGGTGTTGCAGTTGTTCATGGGCGGCGGTAGTCACTTACCATCAGGTGAGCCGCATGCTCGTTTGTCCCTTCTCCTATAAAAAATACAGTCGAATTTAGTACCACCTCCTTTTTAACCGACTTCAAAAAGGGGGAGGTACTCATATAAACAACATTTTTTTTATTTGTGTTACTTCAGAACTTTTTTCTAGGTGAACCGATTTTAATGATTTGAAAGCTGATGCTTCTCATGTGGTCCCATGTAAATTTGATTCAGATATGACCAGTAGTTTTCGAATTATTCTTAGTAATGCTTGTTTAATTGACTTCGACTACATTAATGATGTTCTCATTTTACCCCTTGTTTTTTTAATTTAAGTAAAATCTCACTTCTGCCATTTATTCTATTACTTACCTCTAACCTTGACAGCTTTATCATCCTGGTATCATACAAACGAACATAAAAATCATTCGCTCCAACTGCCAGTTGATACGGTCTCCGCGGATTCACAGCCACACATTTAGCCTCTGCATACCGTCCGAGATGGTTTATTAGATTAACTAATACGTTAGCTGACGCCGAGCTACACCGGTGAGAGGTGCGTACATCATGTTGTCTGTAAAAAAAACAATCATAATACCAATATGAAATAATACAATAGAAGTTTTACACCTTGTGATTGCAGCGTACGAGTTTCTTTTTTTTTCTTGAATTAAGAATAACAAAGGGTATAATCCACCTGATCGTCAGTAGATACTTTGAAGCAAGTTTTTTTATTAAAGTTTAAATTGTTAAAGGACATAGTCCACCTGTCAGTAGATGCTTTGGCCCAGATTTTTTTTATTGAAGTAAGCATCCATCCATCTGATGGTAAGTAGATGTTTTGAACCATAAGCACCTACCTTCAATTCAGAATCTATAATGACTATATGATACGTGGTAGAGCCATGCTGCAGCTATATTAGTAGTATAGTTGTAGCACGAATGGATCGGTTCGACCGGGGAAGTACCACGCTCTCACAGAATACTAGCATAAAATGGCAGCTTGACACTGCTGTGTTTCGTATGGTGAGTGTAGAGAACCGGCGACCCATTTTACTGGAAAAGAGGCATTCCATCTTAGTCCTCACGGGTGACGACGCATCTACATTTTGATTCTTTATTGAGGATAAATGTAGATGTCTATGGGTCACAGCAACCACTTACCATCAGGTGGACTGTGTGCTCGTTTGTCGCCCTATCCTATAAAAAAAAAGACTAAAGCACAGTCGCAGAGCAGATTTTTTTTATTGCTTTGCATTTTTAAGCTTAATTCCATTATAAAAAGTTTTATTTCTATTGCAACTAAGATAGTTTTAGGACCTTTTAAATAGTATTTGTGATTAGAAAACCGAGTTTATTCTCAAGTTATTAAAGTTCACATTTGTATGAATTGAATAAAATTTGAAATTCTTCCTGCTCCGCGATCACGCCGTATACGTCGGCAAATGGAAGGTGAGTGATGTACTCACTATAAATGTTGATAATGACCCTGTCTTACAGCTCCCTGCATTTACTCTGGTTTTGTACTCGGATAGCATTTGCAGCTACGAGGGCTGCACTAAAAGTATTAAAACCGGTAATTAAAATGTTCTTTGTCCATATTGACATTTAAAAACATTAGTTTTTGCACTTTTTGATTTGTAAGCCTCGTTCGCCGATCGTTTAATATTAATCCCGATTTCGAAAACAACCTTTCGCAGCGAACTGAGGTGGCGACTATGTTGCAATGTGCTTTAACAATTGATGCTAAATTGCAGAACAATTAAAGCGAACACACTTTTGAATAAATAAACACAACCAAAGCAAAAGTACCTATTCGTCTGATGTTAAATTCAAATTAAGTCCACTGTGTGAAATGCAAGAGCAAAATGTTAATATTGTTTTAAATTTCATTTAAAGCTTTGAATCAACATAAGTGAATTATCAACTACACGATTTAAAACATTATCAAGTATAAAATAAGGTTTACAATTACAACGATAGCATCATTAGAAATAGAAATAAAAAATGGAGTAGCGCGACATCTATGGCATAACTTTTAATTTACTTGTACTGTTGAATGTTGTATAACATAATTAAATCTGATACTACAGCAGTTTCTTCATTTATAGATATAGATGGCACTTTAAAATATAGATGGATATGATATTTCGACAGTTTTTAATAATTTAATTTAATAATATGTACGAGTACGACATAGTTATGAGGGAAATGCATTTCTTTTCAAGAAAATATAAAATTAATAAGAAAATAAAAACGAAAGTCATTATTTTTTATTTATCTAAATGTAAGTTCCGCGGCGAGATTCGAACGTAATTCACAGGGCAGTTGAGCATTGAATTCCTAGCCTAGCTACACTGCAGTGGCACGCTCACGCTAACGGTATCAACTATCGGTTGGTTAGTGAGTAATTTATCCAAATAGCCAAATAGCTGATTAGCTGGTTATCTAGCTGGCTATTCCACCACAAATAACTGGCTGGCTAGGTTATTGCAATTTTGGCTAGTTACCCATCGCTAGCACAGATAAAGGAAAAATTGCGAAAAGCATAAATTTTTAGTTACATCATATAATAAAAATATTTTTAATAATTTTAAACTTATATACCTACGGATTTGTTCGGAACCCTCGGTGCGCGAGTCCGACTCGCACTTGGCCGGTTTTTTTTTTATATTTAAACTTAATGAAAATTTTCTACCTTTTAGTTCGGTTTCTACAAAAGCGTGTTCTTTTAGCTTTTTTTTTAACTATTATTTATTTTCCATTTTTTTATGCGGAATGGTAAAATCGCTAATCCTGAGGATCCTGGCAAGGATAATGGGACAAACTAATTGCAACGGATCCTTAGCGCAGTGGGTTAGCAATGAGTTGCAGCGCTAAGGGCTGCGGGTTCGAATCCAAGTATTTGTAATACCTACAAGTAATTGTTCCGGGTCTGGATGTTCGTCCTTGTGAAATTTATGTATGTAAACTGCCCCCACGATACAGGAGAAAATCTTAGTGTGGAGGTCACGTTTAAAAAAAGAAAAACAGAAAAGAAAAAAAAATTAAGTGCTAATTTACCACATGCTCGGTGATGAAGGAAACATCGTAAGGAAACCTGCAGTCTGAGAAATAAGAAAAACAAATATTTCGAAGACATGTGAAGTTCGCCAACATGCATTAGAGCAGCGCGGCGGACACTTCCTTGCCCTAAAACCCTCTCAGAAATGGAGGAGGCCTGTGCCCAGCAGTGGGACGTATATTGGCTGTAACTTTAATTTTCATCGGTCCTTGATAAGTGTGCGAAGTTTCTAATCAATCAGACGTTTTGAAGGGGATGAAAATCACATTAAAAAATTCCGTTACATAGATAGATACATACCAAGCTAATAAAAACGCGTGTTAAAATAGCAGCTTAATGCTGCATTTGGTGAGTGTAGAGAACCGGAGACCTTTTTACTGGATACGAGGCATTCCATCTTAGTCCTCAAGAATGATCATGCATCTGCATTTTGTTTCTTAATAGAGAATAAATATAAGTGTCTATGGGCCACAACATTCAATTACCACCATGTGGACTGTGTGCTCAGTTGTCACCAGTATTCTATTAAAAAAATATAATAGGGCTTCTGGCACAAGATAATTTAAAATTAAACATTTTGTACAGCCGACTTCAGTATAAGTTATTAAGAATAACTAAAAACTATTGGTCTGACCTTGATCAAATTCATATGGGCCACATGTGAAGTACCAGCTTTCAAATAAAAAAAGAATCATCGAAATCGGTTCACCCAGTAAAAAGTTATGAGGTAACACACATAAAAATAAACATACAGTCGAATTGAGTACCGTATCCTTTTTGAAGTCGGCAGAAAAATGCATTTATCTTTCAAATCTCAATAACTTTATGCTATTGTAGGTAGGAACTTTCCTGCACAACATGATCCAAATATGCTCTACGAATAATCAAACTAAAAATCTTTTGTTTTAAAAAGCTTGTACATATTAGTATTTTAGTATATAAAGAGTTTCAACATTTGAGTCTGAAGCATTTCGAAATTTTAAATAATTCCACCTAAATCATTGAAGTAATAATACGTACTAGTACTAGAAGAGACGCCGAGACTTGGTAGTTTGCGACACGCATTAGAGCCCATGGGCTCAAACTCACTTAGTCTGTGCCATAAAATGGAACGCTGCTCCACGCGCGCCGCATCACCGCGCATATTTTGTTTGTGCTGTCTGTTTTAGTACATGATACATATTAGTTACTTCAATGACCCAAAATAAACTTTTTGTACTTATTAAAGTTGGTAAAAAATTACTTCGCGCACATCCGCTCGATAAAATAAAATGATGTGTCTTACCTGGTTTGAAGAGCACCTCCCGCCCTCCCTCTATTGCGTGCACTATCACCGTCACCACAAATCCCAGCACCACTATACTAGGAAAGACACACCAATGACGACAATACGACACGTGTTTCGCCTATACACGAAGCATTTTCAGGTGATCTAGACTCTGCGGTGGCTCTAGCCAACTTTAATATAATGGACTTCCGCAATGTAACACCTGATTCTATTAATTATTTTTGTACTTACATAACAAGGCCATCTTCCGCAGCAGACCAAAGCAAATGTGGATTATCGGGTGCAGAAGCCAGACGTTTCACTCTACCACAGTGACAAGAACATTCAAACATGGATGAGCCAGAAACACTGCGCGCACGCACTGTGCCATCCGCAGCACAAGTGACCAATGTGTCCTGTGACAGAAACTGAAACAAATGGTTTTATATATGATAGAGCCACACTGAAGCATTATGTATGTAGCACGAATGAGTCAGTTTGACCAGGGTAGGACCGCTCTCTCACAGAATATCAGCAAGGAACAGCAGCTTACCAAAACCAGAGGGCAGACTTTTCATTCACTGTACAAAACACAGTAGTGAAAAGTCGGTTTCAATTGAACCGAGGCATGCCATCTTAGTCCTCAGGGGTGACAACGCATCTGCATTTTAATCCTTAATTGAGTAAAAATGTTAATGTCTATGGGCCACACAGCATTCACTTACTACTGTGTGCTCTTTGTCACAATTATGTTTAAAAAAATCATTGGGAAAGCACCACCCTAGCACATAATACCAGCTTTAAATATATACATGTGGTAGCATAAAGCTGCAGTGTTGTGTGGTTAGGATTTCGTCCTAACCATAACCACACAGCAGTAATTACCTATAAAGAAAAAAGTGAATAAATTAGTTTTAAAAGAGACATTTTTAAAGTTAACTTTTATAACGTAACTTGCCATATGAGGAAAAGTGAATGTTACAAAACCGATTTAAGAAAAATTGCCTAAGATGGGTCATCATTCATCTACTTTCACTAAAACTAAACTGTCTTCCTAGGTCATAACTCCATCTAGTAGGGGGGTATCCTACACTTCACTTGGCGGTACGAGGTTGCCACTCGCGGACTTACGCCATTGGTTGTTGGTTCCCCGTTATATGGCTGGCCCATTGCCACTTCGGCTTTCAATGGAATTCCAGATTCATAAAAACATAGAGTCCTATATCTAACTTTTATATATATAACTAATATGGAATGTGTCAAAGCTCAATTATTATTGTACCGGCTCTATACCCTCAAACTTTAACACAGCAGTGTAAGCACTGTTATTTGGGGGCAGAAATAGTTAAGAGGGTGATTCCTAGGCAGAAAAAGAGAGCTATCATCTAGTAGTAGCACTTCTAAGCATAGGGTTGTTTTCAGTAAAGAAGATGAGGTTTCTCTTACAGCACTGCTTATCAGTTATACAACATTAAACAAAAACCCTGTGGTTCCCGTTAAGTGCGTTATCAGAGTGAGTATTCAAACGTAGAGTAATAAGTTTTTTCAAAAAACTTGGAGATTAAAAAAATTATTTTAATTTAAAAAAAAAAATTGCAAATTGTATGTGGTTTTATTACCTCTACATTATCCGGAGAATAAGAGGATTGTGAAAGACCCCCTTCACCGATGCTTGTGTCAGTTAGAGGTAATAAAGGCACAATATATAAATATAATAATATTATTCTTTTACGAGTCAAGGTACGGGAAAGGAAGTCCATAGGAGTCACAAGACGTTAGGCACAGGTTTGCTGCCTACAACATAATGAGCAAAGCTATAATTCGATAAATTAAAGCTGTTTCAATTTTGGAGCAACACATTCCAAGAACGTCCTACCATTATGAAGTAATTTTAATGTCTATACAGCTATCTTTTATAAGTGTCACAAAAAAAACAACCTTTAAAGGAAATTATGAGAGTAAAATATATCTATCTATATCCCAGAAAAAGCCAATAATATGAATGAATCATACTGCATTTTCAAAACAACAAATCATATATATACTTACAAAACAACATACACTTATCTACAATACATTTTGTATGATTAATACCTACTTACCTACTCATTAACTTGTCATATATCACAGTGTATAAGTAGATATCATAACTTTAGTTTGCAATATTTACAGTTATGGAGTATAGTGGAATTATTTGTTTATAATAAGACATTAGTAATATAGCCAAGAATAAATCAGACAATGTATTTTCAATAATATTATTGCCTTTACACTAACTGTAACTTTGTTCATAAAAATCCTTCAAGTTGTATAACACTAGAGAAACAAGGCTTGTTGGTCTAGTTGTCATAAATGTGATTGGTCATCATGAGATCGGTTACGGGTTCGAATACCTGGTCGGGCCATCAGTTATTAGGTTTTTCTGACAAGAAATTTTCAGCAGCAGCCCAGTCAGAAAGTTGGCAGTGTTTCACCCCCATGCCTTCAAGAGCTAGTAAGCCCCATGGTTCTGTGCCTGATCTCTCTCCAGTTATATTGGATTACCCATTGCACTATGAGAGTGAGGGTTTAGAGTGCAATAGTTTTTGTGCATACACTTGGGCACTATAATCCTATCCTGTGTAGATGTCTAGTCTTCATCGAGACTGGCCTCCGTGACCGAAATTCGGTCTAGAGGACATTATTATTATTAACTTACACAATAGTGTCAAGATAAAGAATTCTCACCTTCACAGAGAATATATTCCCTGTGTGACCTGTGGCTATTTTGTGCAGTTGTTTGTAGCGATACGGATCCCATAGGATGACGTGAAGATCATCGGATGCCGACGCCAACACTCTGTGACGTGACGTAAAAAAGCATTAACACAATCAGAAAAACATAAAGATGAATATCCTTTATTCGCTCATACTTACGAGCCGTCGTAATTCCATTCTAGGCAATTTACACATCCCATGTGTCCGTGAAGCTCCTTCTCCAACCCAAGTCGGTCTATCATACTACGAGTCACTGTTAGATGATTCTTGAATTTGCGGTCCACATCCCCACGTTCCCTGGCCGCAATCAGGCCGACAGTGCCCTGGGCCCAAGCAGGCTCCTCTCTCCTACCCATGGCTGCTTGCAACCTTCTCAATATGTCTGAATTAGCATCACAAAGTCTAGATCAATCTGCCAACTAACTCAACATCAATCTATTTTTAGAGAAATACATTCTATGGAAAAGTTCTCCACGTTAATTAATTAAAATTAAATGAATGGCCACACGATATAATGGCAATCTCCAACTACTAAAAAAGATATCGTAATTATATACAGATTTTCTTTGAAAAATAAGTAGGTAAACCCGTCAAACAGCTGTAGTTTGTTGCTAGTGATGTAACTCGATCAATTAATTTTATAAACTCGAATCGAGAGCGATAAACCACTCGATAATTTTGTAGTTAAATATTCGTACTCGCACAAAAAAGTAAAACTGTTTTACTCTGTGACTCGCACTACAAGCAGAGAACATACTTCCCTATATATAATGTACTCTGTGGAACATACATAACTACAAAAAGAGAATCGCGTGCATAATATACTTCATAAATTCCGTTATACAAGTGTCGATGAGCAAAATTATGGAAAACGAGAGAATTATAGCCAGAAAAAAACCCAAATTTCTTATCTTCCTTTCGATCGATCCAGCCTTATTTTACCACTTATATATATATATATATATATATATATATATATATATATATATATATATATATATTATTTTATCACTTATATATTATATATACTTACCCACAATTATAATAGGTTGGAATGGATAAAGAAAAACGAAGTTACCTAATTCAAAAAGGTAATCCGTGTCGTAGTGCCTTAGCAATGAGTTGCAACGCTTGGAGCCGCGGGTTTGAATCCCGCACGGAACAAGTATTTGTATGGCCTACAAATAATTGTTCCGGGTCTGGATGTTTGTCCTTGTGCAATATATGTTTGTAAACTGCCTCCACGATACGGGAGAAAATCCTAGTGTGGGGGTAACGTTTTTTTAAAACAAAAGAAAATTAGTATTTCACTTGGGACAGACGGATAGACTGAGAATGCCAACTTAATAAAAGATAAAGATATGCGTTAATATGCAATTCAATTTGCCTTACAGTGATGTCACACGTACCACTTTCTTGGTGTGCGTACCATTTTTAGGGTCTAATACCATCTACCAACTAAATACTGTCCTGGTATGCAGAAATACTGAGGTTTTGACATCGCTTATGAATGATTTTTTTTTGCTTTTTAGAAAGGGAATGTCAGGCGTTACTCTAAGTAGTTATCACATTATTGTTGTTATTTACTATTTACGAGCCGTGGTAGTTCAGATAGTTAGCGCTCACTGTAAGTTTCACAGTACGCGAGCAACCCTGGTTTTATCCCTGCCGGCACCAATGAAATTGTTAATTGCAATGTTAAGTGCTGATTTACCACGTGCTCGTCGGTGAAGGAAAACATCCTGAAGAAACCTGCATGTTTGAGATAAAAGAAAAAATATTTCGAAGACATCTGAAGTTCACCAATACGCATTGGGGCAGCGCTGCGGATATTTCCTTGCCCTAAAACCCTCTCAGAAATGAGAGAAGGCCTGTGCCCAGCAGTGAGACGTATATATGCTGTTACTTTAACTCTTTACACTAATATTATGTTTTAAACCCTTTAGTTATGATATTTGTATTCATCTTATCAATGATAGTGCGAGCTAAAACATACCTTATAATTATCGCTTACCTAATATTTACAAGTACTTACATAGTGAAATTAATGAATTAAGTACAATAACGCAGAGGCTTCAATCTTAGCGCGTCACTATTCAACCACTCTCAACTATTTTTTTTTAGCCCTCATTAAATCGCTAAGCGGATATTTTGGGAACTTGAAAGTTTAATATTTGCACAGTGCGCATGTGAAATATTATAGTGAAATAAAATACGCGTCAGACTAGGCTGTATTGTATAGATATTCCTTTGACTTTAATTCTTTATATAGAGAAGACTTTTAATGTCAAATTGGTTATTTGACGTTTATATTAAATGTTTGTTTTTATCTTATTGTTAATTATTGTTATGTTGTTAATTTAATTTTTACATTTTAATATTGGTGAGTATTTATTATAATAACAAAAATATTCGGTAACGGTTCATGCGATTTTTAATTTTTATATAGGCAAAATCAGAAATATTTTCTAAAGAAGTTAGTGATTAATTGTGTTAACGTTACATATCGTTATATTTATTTATTTGTTTTTCTTTTTTATTTTACAAAATTTCTCATGTATGCTTACATGAGTACAGTAATAGTGTACAATCTTAGGCTCAGCAGGGAAAGTAATAACTAACTTTACTAATACAGGTACTATAAAATTTTTCCTCTTGGATATATTATTGATGCCCTTCTGACCAAGTTTTATTCGACATGGCAGGATTTTTTTAATCAGAAACTATCATCGGCGCCGCGGATATTACAGTGTCTGAAGTGAACCCAGCAACTGACACTAACTGGGGATAAACATGTCATATTAAGTATGATGTTACTGCATAGTGAACATTTAGTGCTACACATTTAATGATAAATTAGACACTGACTCAATATGTTGATTGTTGCCTTACCTTCTTCCTTTAAAGTTATTTTATGTAAATCATGATTTATTGTTTTCAGAGTAACTGTATCTATTAGACAGTGTAACATACTCAGTGGAAGACCAAAATGGGTGAACGCAAAGGCCAAAATCTTTATTATCCCCCAGACTACGATCCTAAAGTTGGGGGATTAAATAAGTTCCAAGGAACACATGCACTGCGAGAGAGAGCTAGAAAACTACACATGGGTATCTTAATTATAAGATTTGAAATGCCCTATAATATATGGTGTGATGGCTGTAACAATCATATCGGTATGGGGGTTAGATACAATGCAGAAAAGAAAAAAGTTGGAATGTACTACAGTACACCAATATACCAGTTCCGCATGAAATGCCATTTATGTGACAATCATTTTGAAATTAAAACTGATCCAGGCGTAAGTACTGCGTTAGGTATACTATTAATTTAAAAAAAAAAATTGTTTGAGGATTTCTTTAACATTATTGCAAAGATCAAAAATCATGAGTCTATTCCAACGTTTTCAATAACTTATTTTAGTTATTAAGTTAATATCTTAGTGGACATTAGTATACAGACATATTAAGTTTAGTGTCAGTTTAGTCATATTAAGTAGTAGGTCTCCATTTCTGTCGAAGAATCTGTCTGAGTAGGTACCGCCCTCTTACGTGACCTCTCTGCGGCCAAAGAACCGTGCTCGCACTTTGTTCTCATCTGAACGGTATAGAAAGGCATTACAATTACAGGCGGTGAGGCATTCCTTTCTAGTGCTCAATATAGTGACAATGCATCTGCAGGCTATGCTTGAAAGTGTCTGTAACAACCAAATTAAAATTAAATTTTTTTTATAGGATAGCGTGACAAACGAGCACACAGTTCACCTGATGGTTTTTTTTTATAGGATAAGGGTGACAAACGAGCACACAATCCACCTGATGGTAAGTAGTTGCTGTGGCCCATAAACATCTACACTTATCCTTGATTACGAATCAAAATGCAGATGCATTGTCACCTGTGAGGACTAAGCTACAACTATACTATTAATATAGCTGCAGCATGGCTCTACCACGTTGAAAAGTGGTTGCTGTGACCCATAGACATCTACATTTATCCTCAATAAAGAAACCAAAATGCGGATGCATCGTTACCCGTGAGGACTAAAAAGGAATACCTCTTTTCCAGTAAAATGGTTCTCCGGTTCTCTACACTCACTATATGAAATACAGCAGTATCAAGCTGCCATTTTACGCTGGTATTCTGTGAGAGCGCGGTACTTCCCCGGTCGAAATGGCCCATTTGTGCTACAACTTTACTGCTAATATAGCTGCAGTATGGCTCTACCACATATAAAAATTGTGTGAGTCAGTGGTGATCTGGTCGGCACTGTTGTAACATGCAGACATATAATAAACCATTATTTCTTACAAGGCCTCTTTTTCATTTATATCACATTACACTTTCATTAATTAAATGTTCATGGACTGCAGTGTCCATTTACCATCAGATAGACTGTAATATTGATTGCCACTTCAGTTATATAAAAAAAAATCTCCTTCATCAGCTTATAAAAGTCAACTGCTAGGTATGGGCCTCTTGTTGTAAGGAGGATTTGCCTTAATTGCCTAGCTTGGTAAGCATTGGGTTGACAAACCCAGTATCAGATATCTCACACCTTTAACATTGCTGCCACTAGTTTGGGTATATTACTTTTGGAATAAACAAGATGTTCTTAAAACCATCTATCAAAAGGAAAAAAAAATTTCTTGCATTTACCATAGGCACCTTTTTCATCACCCTCTGGGTGAAATGGGGTGAAAAAAAAAACAGAACATAATATTCAGTTGTCAAGCGAAAAGATAACCATTCAACTAAAAAAGTTACCTGATAATTTTTTTTAATAATTATAATTTTATTTCAATAAACTGTACAATTAATTTAAATAATCTCTTTATTTAAATTAGTGTACAATAACAGGCACCTGAACTAGGATAAACCTGTCTCAGGTATATGTGCTAATAGATACATTTACAAATATTTTCTGTTTCTTATATAAAATGAATAACTTACCATCTAATTAGGGTTAATTCAGTAAAATATATTATCATTAATTTACTTATGATTTTAAATAACTTAAAACAATCAGCAACTTTTCCGTATCATCGTATGACAAATTTTGTAACCATGTTCGAATTACATTTTTACAATCTCCCACTTTTAATGGATACATGTACAAAATTGCATTGACTTGATTATACAAAAAAGGGCCAAGGACTGTAAAAAATCTATGCATGAAAGAATGCCTTAATCTAATGGTAGTATCAATGATTTTGTCTTGCGTCTTTTATCAGTGACCTCCATTCCGTAGGGCAATTTTTAATGCTGTTTTAGTAATGTACTCATAACGAATAACTGGCGCACTGAGAGGACATTATAGGATTTATATAAGAGATGGGACGGGAATAGGATAGGGCGG